AGGGGAGAATACTTTCCAACTTACTGAATGAGATCAGCATTATACTAATTCCAAAAATGAGACAAAGATATTAAAGGAAAGGATACAAATGTCCCTCATAAACATAGACACAAAACTTATTAATAAAATTTTAGCAAGTTGAACCTAACAATACATGATAGGGACAACGCATTATTACCAAATAGAGTACATCCCGGAAATGCAAAGTTGGCATAACTTTGAAAACCAATGAAATTGGTATCAATCGTCTAAAAAATAAAAATCACATGGTCATCTCAACAGGTGAAAAGGCATTGACCTAGATGTGAAACCTAAAAGTAGAAAAAATTGTAAATGAAAACATAGTAAAAGTTCTTTGTGACCTTGTGTTAAATAAAGATTTCTTAAATGTGGCACAAAAGGCATGATTCATTGAAGAAAAAAATTGATAAGTTAGACACCATCAAAATGTAAAATGTCTTCTCTTCAAAAGACACTGTTAAGATAATGAAAAGATGTCACAGACCAAGAGAAAAATATTTGCAAATTATATATCTGATAAAAGATTTGCACGCAGAATATACTTGAAAACAAACATACGCAAAACCCAGTGAGAAAATGACCAACCTCTTTTTTTAATGCGCAAAATATCCAAGCAGACACTTCCCCAAGGATATATTGATGATAAATAGGCAAATCAAGAGATACTCAACATCATTAATGACTGGGGAAATGCAAATTGAAAACACAATGTGATACCACAACTACACTGGCTGGCATGTGTAAACATTGACCATACTAAGTGATAGCAAGGATCCTGAGTAGTGAACTCTCACACACTACTGGTGAGAACGCAAAATGGGATAGTCACTTTAGAAAACAGTTTGGCCATCTCTTACAAAACATACACCTAACTTATGATCCAACTATGCCACTCCTAGGTATTTACCCAAGAGAAATGAAAATACCTGTCCAAAGACTTGCATACAAATATTCATAGCAGCTTTACTTGTGATAGCTTGAAAGCTGGGGGAAGAAAAACCCATCAGTAGGCAAACAAACAAATTGTACTACATCATTATCATAGAATACTACATGGCAATAAAAAAGGAATAAATGACCGATACACTCAGTAACACGAGTGAATCTCAAAATAATTATGCTGGGTGGAAAAAGTCAGACATAAAAGAGTGTAACATATAGGCCATTTACATTAAATTCTAGGAAATGCAAAAAAATCTACAGTGACAAAAGGCAGATCAGTGATTCCCTGGGGACGGAGACAGATCACAAAGGGGCACCAAGAAACTTTTGGGGGTGATGGATATGTCCATTATCTTAATTGTGGCGATGGCTTCACAAGGGTATACGCATGTCAAAACTACCAAATTACACACTTGAACTATGTCCAGTTAATCGTGTGTTGATTATATCTCAATAAATCTGTTAATAAATACATCATAAATATTAAACATACCCAAAATATATATGGAAAGCTTACTACTACTCTTATGATTACTCTGATGCGTGGGACTCCTGAAACTTCTAGCAGGTCTGACAGCAACTCATTTACCTTACTCCAAGCTTTCTCCTTCTCTGTTTAATGAATGACACCCCCTCCCACTCAGCCCCCCAAGTAAGAACCTTAGGCTCATCCCAGACTCTCCTCTCTTCCTCAGACTCTCCTCGCCCTTCCCTATGACCCGAGTGTGTTCACTCCAGCCACATTATTGCAATGCTTTTTATATACTTTTTTCTCCCTAGAGCCTCACCCCCCCCCCACCTACATCCCTCTACCTTCACCAAAGAGCTTTCTCTGAAACATAAGAGTATGTGATCTTGCCCTGCCCTTCGATGGCTTTACATTTTTCTTCAGGACAATCCTTAGCCGGTGTTATCATGCCTCTTTTAACCAGCCCTTTATTAGCATCTCCTGGCTAAAATCTAAACAACCAGCCTCCTCTAGACATTCCCCAAGCCATTCTACATTCATACTCAGTTACTTGCTGTTTCCTGAATATGATATGTCATTTCACACCATCAAGCTTTATTCAAGCTTCTCCCCCCACCATTCCTGCCCCCTCATTCCCCAGGAAACCGAATGCAGTCATCACCTCCTTCAATAATACATGCTCTCCAAACCTCAAGGTGGACAGAATTAACTACCTCCCCCCTTTGTGCTTCCACAGTGACCGGGTCACACAGAAAACTCAGCATCACACATGTCACATTTCATGATTCACTGGCCTTCTTTGTTTACATCTCACTGCCGGTAAGAAGAGTACAAGCACCAGAGACCGGGGACTTGATCAGACTGGTCTTTCTCACCCAGGACAGAACCTGGAAAATACAGAAGTAGGCCGCCTGCTGTAAGCCAATTTGCAAAAATTCAGTTTACAAAACTGACTTGTTTCTTTTAACCATTTAGTTCCAGTTGATTGGGTTTTCATTTGTCTTTACAACACCATTTGCAGGAAAGTCCTATATTCACAAGAAGAAATCATTCACTGACTAGAGCAGATGCTCAGTAAATTTATATTAAACAGATACCAGCTTCTCTTACCAAAAATACAAAATTATCATTGGCCAAAAGATTAAGCCAGACGCAAGCACCTATTTCCCCGACACGATGTCTGCGAAGGCTTTCCAAACTCAGGCTAATCCTCTGATTTTCTTTTTCAGTTTCGCAGAGGTGGTTGGTATACCTCTCAGCATAAACTCCAAAGTCTGTGAGACAAATTAACTGGGGCTAGCAACGCTTGACTTCAGGTGGGAGAAAGTAAGAAGGAAAGCCCAGAATTAGATGGCGCTCAGGGAGGTTGAGTGGACGTGTGTGCTCCTATTTGGCCACAAGGGGGAGCCAGCCACTTTGGTATGCAGTCACAGCCCGCGCCGGAGGTACCCCACTGCTCCCACAGGCCGTGTGACCCAAGTCCCTGAAAGAAACATCTCTATTGGCAGAAGTATCTTTTTTTGACAGATCTCGTTAGGGAAAAAAACTTCTCCAGAAATAAATCCAGGCAAACCAGAGTTCCTAGATAATTGTATTTTTCATCTAGAACGTTTCATGGTCTTGGTTATAGCCATCATTGAGTTCTCTAGCTATTTGAGCCGAGGAAACCCAACTGATGGGAAAATAGACACACCTTTAGGGGCTCCAGGCGTCTAGATACACTCTACAGTATCAGGCAAGGATTTATTCTAGTGCCTCACCACCATTAACAACTTCATTTGAAATAACATGATATGAAATCGACTGACTAATGCAATGAATAGCACCTACACAGAGGAATCGGGGTTAAAACAAAAAGTGAAGAGAAACAGGATGCATTTAAAAGAAAAAGAAAAAGAAAAAACAAAAACAAAAAACAAAAAACAGGCTGAAGAGGATCCTGGTCTCCAGACACCGAAATGGAAGCAGCTCGATTGTTCGTTTGAACTCCACCCCAGGCTACAGTGGCTGCCTTAGGTCTCATTATTTCCCCTATATCAAGTCCTTCAAGAGGTAGTCTCCTCCTCCTCAAATCTTTTAGCGGCGAAAACGCTCTTACTTATAACCTAATGGGCTGGCGGGAGGGGGAATGAAATATAAAACTACATAATAATTCAACTTAAATTTAAGAGGCTATTTATATTATTCACTATCTTAACAAGATGACCTCAAAGGTAAAGTACAAAAAAAGCCAAAGAGAAGTGAGGATCTTTCCATTCGTTTAGGCAAGGGAATTGGCCCAGGGCATTCTCTCTCTTCTACAAAGAGGCACCAGGTTGTAATTTTTATGTTGCAGATACATGAATGGGATCGGAGAGTTTATAAGACACCATGCAACCCTAGCTTCAAACAAGGACATAACTTAAACACAAACTAACCAAAGAAAAAGAGAAGATAAATTCAGTGAAATTTTTTACCTACCGACCACCTCACCCACATATAATGCCTCTGTGCTGTGGTCTGCAATTTGAGATCCTGAACACTTTGACAGACCCCAAGGAAAACACATCTTAACTCTTAAGTGAACCTCCACCTGCAACTGCCCGGAATTGAAGTCTCAGTGACCATAATGCCCAAGAGTGGAGAACTCGTTTCCATCTAGCAATCCAAGGACTGCAATAATCATCACTACCCCCCCTTCACACCGCCTGCAAGGCGCAATCATAAGAGGCTGAGAAAGCACGCTTGGAACCCAAACAGGATCATAGAAAAGATTTACCATCCCCCCCAGAGGCAAGTCGACTAATATTGCACTGATCCCAGCTTAATTGTTTTGCTTCATTTTGTTTCATTGTTCTGCACCGGTCTTTCTTATTGTGAATGTTTATAGAGAAATGTGGTCACTTTAACCTTCTTAATTAATTCCCCATTGCTTGTGGTGACAGTGGCCATACTGCAGCATCAAATAACTTAAGGGCCAAAGAAAACATACCCCTGTTTTTATAAAGTTTGGACTGAGACCGTGCCTTAAAAAGGGTATAGCTATAAAAAAAATTAGGTAAATAAGAAAAAAGCAATCTAAAAGCTCTCATCAATATGGCAAGGAAAGAGAGGAAGGAAGGAAGAAAGAAAGAAAGAAAGAAAGAAAGAGAAAGAGAAAGAAAGAAAGAGAAAGAAAGAAAGAAAAGAAGGAAATAACAGCCTAGAATAGTGTGTGGCACATGTTGGTGCTTAAGAAATATTTATTAAATAAGTGAATGAATCACTTGGGACTCATATACAGAGCAAACAATAAGCAAACAAACAAATAAATAAACAAATATTGAGGATCATTCCGTGGTATTTTAGATCTCCAAGATGTCGTATGTGCCACTCCTTAAGAATAATAAATATTAAAAAAAGAAACAATAAGTATTGGCATTATGAGTTACTCGTGGTTATTCAGTGCTGGTTCACTGACGATAAACCACAAGCCACCAATTAGAAAGCCCCTTTTACTCACCCTTGCTTGTGGAGACAGCTCCCTACAATGCTGTTTTCTAGGTAGGTTTCTAGGATCAAACTCACTGTGTTTGCTGTGCATACTTACACAGCGGCTCAATTGCTGCCTAAGGCTATGAAATTCTTCCACAAAGTGTCTTTCCTTGCAGACTTGTAATTGGAGTTGACCAAAAACATCGTCCATGAAGAAGGACAGAAGCTGTTCTTGGAATCTGCAGTTTTTCTATAAATAAGATATGAGAAATCGCATAAAGTAAACCGTGGGATATAGTTTTTGTAAAATGTCACTGCAATCCCCACCTGATTATGACGTAATGACCACCTGGAAAAATTAAAATGCAGGAGGGAAAGCATCAAACAAGTAGAAAGTTGAAAAACATTTAAAAAACCCTCTGGCTCACCATAAATAGCTTTTTTGTTTTCTTTTTTAATAATCGTATATTTTTAATGCGGTCTTCCTACAATAAAACAAAAGGAGATAAGTGTTATCCAGAATTACAAATGTCCGTTAGGTCATCATTTTAAGCAGAGCCTGATACTTACTGGAATTGTTGCTTTGAGCCATGCCGCCTTGACGTAGAGTCTGTCAACAGCTTGGGACAGTGTGCCCCTTGGGTAACAACCTTTCGCAGAGGAAGATTGCTTGTGCTTGGCGATGACAAGAGACAGAGTGGCAAACAGCAACCCAGACCTCAAAATGCAATTCGCCTGCATCTCCCTCCACCCCACTCTGGGCACCTGTCGCTCGCCAGACAGTTTCTTGCGCTGGTTCGATGATCGGATAACCTACTTACTTAAGCCCTCAAGGCCACCTCTTCAATGAGATCCTGTGGTAGATAACTTACAGTTTACAGAGAGGAAGATCACTCCGGCTGTTCTATTTTTTTTTAGAGCTTGCTTCATAACCGAAAAAAGCTTTGACCGCACTATCTGTGGCACTAAGAAAAAGCACAAGTTTACTGGGAAGGTTAGGGCCCCCTTTTCAAAAAAAAAAAAAAAAAGGGGGCGCCTGGGTGGCGCAGTCGGTTAAGCGTCCGACTTCAGCCAGGTCACGATCTCGCGGTCCGTGAGTTCGAGCCCCGCGTCGGGCTCTGGGCTGATGGCTCAGAGCCTGGAGCCTGTTTCCGATTCTGTGTCTCCCTCTCTCTCTACCCCTCCCCCATTCATGCTCTGTCTCTCTCTGTCCCAAAAATAAATAAACGTTGAAAAAAAAAAATTAAAAAAAAAAAAAGTCAAGTCAGAACCTCAGTTGCCTATCACAACAGATGCATTGTTTTAAACAGGTTCATGACATGCCAGTAAGGGAGACTCATCTCCGGGAGGCCGTGTGATTTTTTTTTTTTTTAATGTCCGTATGAAAAATAAAATCTCCTTTTTAGCCAATATCCCCACCCCCCCCAAAATTAACCACAGGTAGAGTGGAGAGCCCTGGGAAACTTGCTCATGATCTCCTATGGGTTTTACACATATCCCTTGCAGAGTCCTTCGCCAGGCTCCCTCTCTTCTCTCAGGAGCCACCTTTCTTTAGCCAGCCAGCCTTAAGACCCAAAAGAGTTTTCCAATTTTTCTCAAGAATTTTTCCAGCTCAGAAACTGTAACTCCCCTAACATACTCAAGATTTGTTTGGCATAGGGACCTGGGGTTAAGGCCCACGGTTTAGTAAATTCTCTATCATCTCTGTCCAAGTTGACTGCCCAGCTTCTAGCGCTGGACTTCGAGTAGCGTGCACATTTCTTAAGGAAAGAGACCCAACCTTTCTATCTCTGAATCCTTAGCCCCTACCCAGATGACGCCTCATCTAAGGAAGCACAGCCGATGTTCGTTGAATAAATGCTTTCCTTTCTACGTCACAAAATGCTACTGTAACTGTGTTGCTTTTTTATTCCATCAACAAATTTCTGTCGAGGATCTGCCTATACAGAGACCTGTGCTAGGTACCAGGGGGGCTATAAAGGCAGATGGTCCATGGAATCCCATCCTCAATTCTGCCCCAGTTCTTGTGATAGTGGTGACAGGTATGGTCCATGTGAGGGAGTAGCCCCAAGCTAAGAAGTGGATGTGGCCTAGAATCATATAAGGAGAAGCAAAGACAAGGCACCAAAGCCTAGCATGCGCAGTTAACGTAGTACTTGAGCAAAACAACACTGGAAGCTGGTTGTGAGCAAGAGATTCCTCAAAACTAGTCAGTGACAGACTTCAGAATTCAAGACAAATGTCTAAATCAAAGACCACCAGGCTGGCAAAGGAGCGAAGAGAAAGTAGGAGTGAGAGGTCCAAACACTGGGGAATATTTCCTGCTGCTTCAAAAAGTAGGTAGATTTTGCAACACCGGAAGTTTATGCCCACAGGACCAGCTCTGCTGTGAAAGACACACTCTCTGAGGTGAGATGGGAATGTTCACAAAGAGCTACAGCAGAAGACAGCTGATTGGGAGCACAAAGGGAGTTCACAGAAATTTTACAAAAATTCAGGAAAAGGAAGAATTCTTTTTTAGCTAGGAGTAGCTTAAAGGTGTTTGAACTGGGACATGGAATATCCCAAGGTGGTGGTTTTTTTTGTTTGTTTGTTTTGTTTTGTTTTTGAGAAGAGTGACGCCTACTATTCAAAATTCCTTTATAGAAAAGAGTATGAACTACCAGGGATCAAAAGCCCAAATGCTTTCAGAGCGTGTAGGATTAACATAAACACCCTGGGTAAACGCATATGGGACAGTCGGAACTAAATTGCTTACATTGCCACCAAACCTAAAATCTGCCTAATTATACAGCCTGTAAACACACCGTGTGGGTGCACTAAAAGGACCACACAAAATACTTCCAGGAGCTGTACACTGCCTTGAGCAGCTAATTTGGGGGTCCCTGGTGTGCGGCAACAAAACGTAAGTGCAACGCGAATCGCTAATATTGGTAAATGAATATGTGTTCTGACGAATTTTTAACTCCTGCTGGTTGCATTTACATAAATGTCTCATGTCCCTGAAACTATCAGGACCCAAGGAAGATCATAACACCCCAGGGATGCCTCCGCTTTGATTCACAACCAACTCCAGAAAACTGGCCATTTCCTTATGTCTGAAAACCGTATCTCCCTGTGGACCATAGTCATCCTACATCTTAGTTGGCACATCAGCCTCATTAGGGTCCTTCAAACAGTCCAATCTGGGGGCGCCTGGGTGGCGCAGTCGGTTAAGCGTCCGACTTCAGCCAGGTCACGATCTCGCGGTCTGTGAGTTCGAGCCCTGCATCAGGCTCTGGGCTGATCTGGGCTGATGGCTCAGAGCCTGGAGCCTGTTTCCGATTCTGTGTCTCCCTCGCTCTCTGCCCCTCCCCTGTTCATGCTCTGTCTCTCTCTGTCCCAAAAATAAATAAACATTGAAAAAAAAAAAAACAAAAAACAGTCCAATCTGGCCCCCAAAGGATGACAAGTGATAAAGGAGACTCAAAACCCAGGTCCTAAAGACAATTCCGACAGGGGGTTCCAAAAGTGCCCCCAAGTAACAAAAGAGCCATTAGAATAAGTATGTGATATCCTTGGGGCACCAGCTGAAACACAAGTCTCTCTCATTTTGGATGTATTTTTATTATGTCACTTTTATAAGTTCCTTATACAGAACTACATAAAAATGGCTATTGGTTACAAGGAGATTTGGTTTTGAAACTCAGATGCAACTACCCTACTAGTTGTATAGCCATGCGGAAGTTGCTAATCCTCTCTGAGCTTTAGTTTTTGTCGTCATTAAAATGGGACAATAATTGTACCTACTTCAGACGGCTGTCATGAGCAAAAAATATGATAATATCAATAGAATGCTGAGCACAAGGACAGCTACAGATGCACCCTGCAAGTGGTAACTATTACATTATTATTTTTCAAATAATAAATGTATCTTAATCTGTCCAGGTACTATACCAAAATACTACAGACTAGATAGCTTATAAGCAACAGAAATTAATTTCTCACCGACGTGAAGGCCGGGAAGTCCCAGATCAACATGTCCGCGTGGTCACAGTCTGGTGAAGCCTCTCTTCTGGGTTGCAAACAGCCAGCCTCTCACTGTGTCCTCACATGGTGGAAGGGGCAAGGGATCTCTCTGGAGCCTCTTTTATAAAGGCGCAAATCCCATTCATGAGGACTCTGCCCTCATGACCTAACCACCTCTCAAAGGTCCCACCTAATACCACCAACTTGGGGTCTAGAGTTCAACATATGAATCTAAGACACAAGCATTCAGACCACAGCAAAATGCATGTGCAATACTCTGAATAATGTTTAAGTCTCTCACAAACTTTCAAAAGTGTTGAGAAATGGTTGAAGAAAGTGAGGAAAGCAAAGGATGAACAATGATCTGACCATATTTCAAAGAGTATGCAGGCATGAGGAATTCAATTCACCCCCACACACATCCAGAAAGCAGACCGGGGCCATTAAGTGGATATTTTAAGGCTGCTACTCCTACATAATGTACAGGAGAACATTTAAACAACTGATCTGCCCCAAAGCACAGCTGGCTACCCCAATTCCCAAATGCCGGTATGGCAGCCATTTTCCTTAAAATTCAGCTCCACCCTCACACACCCAAAAGAATGCCAGCAGCGCCCTCTGATGGTCAAGCATATCGAATGAGCAAAATGGGTTTCATGCAGAGAATCACAGCTCACTTTGAGACCTCTCCTCTGTAGGAGGAAAAAACCAACACCCATTCGGGTTCCTTAATTCTTAAACGATTTAGTTGACTCTAAGACACATTTGCGGTTTGGCTTTTTTCTTTCCCCCACATCTTAATATCTCTGAAATCACAACCCGTTTTATAATCCATCGTCTTATAATTACATCACCAAGTCAGCCCATACACAGTTGTCCTTCCCTGTGCAGTCGCCAGTCATGTCCCCACTTCAGACTGTGTGCATGGCTGTTAGTACGTGTGTTGAGTTGAATTGCTGTTCAAATATCTTTAGAAAGATTGCACTATGATTCAGCAATGAAATGAAAGTTAATGTGTTCACAGAAAGGCACAGAACAGCAGTGGGATGCAAATCTGCTATTAGAGAAACAAGTATTTGTCTTTGGAAGAATGACCAAAATGACATATTTTCTTGCAAGGCAACAACCAAGTGCTAAATGTTAAGCAAGCACTGCATCATAGCTTAATCAGAAGCACTTATTTCCTTTCTTAGTGATAAAATAATGGTGCAGCTTTGATCATATGGTATCTTAAATTTGTTGAAATATGATGTTTAACGACCTCAGTGATTGGCATAATTCCTAAGGATCAGAAATCCTAAACTCTACATAGCTATAAATAAGAAGTAGGTGGATCTACTTTAAACTAGTCATTCTATTTGTAAAAAACCCTGAAACCCAATATTTTTTTTCCAGGATAGAGCCAGAAGATAGAGATAAGAAATAGTCATAGATTGATAAATATACTTAATACAATGATATCTGAGTTTTGTCCTTTCAGAAAAGGTAGGTCCCTCTCTATCAGACAATTCCACCCAGGAAACATGTTGATCTTATGTTTATGTCATCAGAGGGATGGATGAGAACAGGCTAGAGAAGGAATGAAGAGGGCTCTAAACGGTCTGAAGGGGGAAGAAAGTGGATCTGGAACCTGGATTCATGGAACAGCATGAAGAGGAAAAGTGCATGAAAACCCTCTGAGCGTCTCAGCCTGTGTTCCCGGTTCTATGCTGGGTGACTTATACTCTGTATGTCTTCCCCGTGCATCATTCATTCATTCATTCACCAAATGTATTTTGGGCGTTTGTTATCTCCCAGGCTTACTGGGGCTCAGTATGCACCAATAAACAGAACAGAAAATGATTGATTTCATAAAACATCCTCGTGATAGTAGAGGATGGGGAGGACAGACAATAAGTAAATATAATAGATATAACTTATGTAAGCTACAAGCCAGTTATGTACAGTTGAAAAATGAAGCTTTGGAGAAAATGGAATAGAATAAGGGGGGTGCTGGTGCTTGGATGGGGATAGGTTGTAAACAGGATGATCACAGAAGGTTCGATGGAACATTTAAGCAACAGTAGAATAACGTGATGAGCAAGTCACAGAGGTACCTCTTCAGTCCAAAGGCACAGTCAATGCAAAGTCCTTAGGGAAGGTGCACGCTCAGAGTGTTCCATACACCTAGGAAGCCTGTGTGATCAAACCTAGAGCAAGGGAGGAGGGTAGAAAAATGTGAGATAGAAGAGGAAATGTGGACAAAGTCACAGCCTTTATTTCTTTTTTAAGTTTATTTATCTACTTTGAGAGAGAGCATGCAAGCAAGGGAGGGGCAGAGAGAGAAGGAAAGAGAGAACCCCAAGCAGGCTCCATGCTTAACCAACTGAGACACCCAGGCGTCCCCAAGTCACAGCCTTTAAAGCTATCAGTGGGACCTCAGCTTCCACCCTTGGTCGTGTGGGATATTTGAACAAAGGAGCTATATTGTCTGACTGAGGTTCTTTAAAAAGGAAACAGGAACCAAATACCCAGAAATAAACGAACAGATAAACCAAGTGTGATACATCCATACGGTGGAATGTTAGTGATAAAAAGCAATGTAGAGCTGATGCACATATGCTACAACACGGAAGAACTTTGAAAACAGTACGCTGTTTTCAGTGCAAAAGGTCGCATATTTATGATTTCACTTCTGTGACACATCCAGATGGGAAAATATAGAGACAGAGGTCAGCTTCATGGTCGCCAGGGCTGAGAAGGGGAAACGGGGGAGTAGCTGCTTCATGGGTACAGGCCTCCCTTTGCAAGTGATGACAATGTTTCAGAACTGGATGGAAGTGGGGTTTAGTACACTACGAATGTACTAAATGCCGATGGATTGTTCATGTTTAAGTAGTTAATTTTATATTATGTGAATCTCACCTGGGTAAAAAAAAAGAAGGAAGGAAAGGAAAAGAAAGGAAAGGAAGGGGAGGGAAGGAGAGGAAAGACAGAAGGAAAGGGGGTAAAAGGGAGAGAGAGAGAGATGGAAGTAAGGAGAGCCCGGCCACTGGTGCAGCAGAAAAGAAGCTACCGCTGTGGCATAGCTCTGTTGAGCTTTATGGGAGGGCCTGGCCCTTCCCTTCTTGTTTAATCCAGAAGACAACTGTTTTTTATTTTTTGGGTTTTTTTTTATTTTTTATTTTTTTATGCTTATTTATTTTTGAGAGAGACAGAGACAGAATGCGAGTGGGTTGGGGCAGAGAGAGAGGGAGACACAGAAGCAGAAGCAGGCTCCAGGCTCTGAGCTGTCAGCACAGAGCCCGACACGGGGCTTGAACTCACAAGCTGTGAGATCATGACCTGAGCCGAAGCCGGACGCTCAACCGACTGAGCCACCCAGGCGCCCCAAGACAATTGTTTTTTTTAACTACGTTGCCCATGTGAACATTTTAGTAGCTCTCGAAAAACATTTTTAAGAAGAAACTCCTACCTCATCCACCTTTTCAAACATATTTAGATCTGTTTGAACGCTTTTTTAAGAGGTGAAATCATGACCTGGCTACTTGTTTTTCTGCTGCAACCGAGAATCGGTGGAATTCGACAGGCCTTGACTGTCATATGTGAGCACTTAATAGTCCACGGGCTGGTTGGGAGAAGAACCCTTTCATACCCGAAAATATAGAGAGAGCTTCTCATTACGCTGGAGGCTAGGTAGTTTCAGAGCCTCTGGCACCGCTCCATTTTACAGAATCCAAGGAAGCTTAATCATATGCCCAGGTGACCCTTAGATCAACAAGGCGGAGGATTCCATCCGTGCTCACAAGACCCCAAAGCCCGTGTGCTTCCCACCGCCCGTGCGGCCTCCCACCGCACTGGAGAGCAGGACATAGGGACTATCTGAGGTTGTGAGGGACACTACAGAAAATAAGAGATGGCACGGTGACCTAAGGAAAAAGGAAAAAGAAGAAAAACACCTCAAGAACAGTAAAACAATTATTTATGGTATTTTACAGCCCTTACATATACATTATAAAAGTATCTAACGTTATACTTCACAAAGTATTCCTTTACTCGGTCTTATCATACATCCCAAGAGCTCTTTTTGTATAGCCATTTTTTCATAGCTCTGTAGGCTTTGACACATTGGTACCAGACACATTGGCCATTCATTCTCTGGCAATGAAAGGCACATCATCCATAAGTCCTGCCGAAAATATGACACCCTAACCACGATTTCAAAAATTAAAAAAATCAGAAGCCGATTATACTAACCCACCACAAAGGAGAACAGAAAACTGATCTCCACAGCTGTCCCCTTCGCTCAGACCAGCAGAAGAGAGAGAAAGGATACACGATGCACAAATCCAAGCATCCTCCAAAGTTTTGTCAGAGCACATATGACCACAAGACAGCCTTTGTACCTCATTTTCTAAGTGCATTAGAAATAAGGTTTGCAGTAATAACAGCAAGACTGGGGACAGAGTTTAGAAATCATGATTGTGAGAGTCACAGAAATAGATGTGCCTTTTCCATCAAAATGGATCAATCATCTGTCCTTCTCTTCAGCCCTGGGGACCTATGGCAATCAGCATAAACACCTAGTAGACAGTTACTCAGACTGAGCAATGCATTTGAACCTGAACTTACAGGCCACCAGCAACATGATGTCCCCCTTCAGGACTTGCTCTCACATTCAGAGTAAAAGCCAAAGTCCTTTCCATGGCCTGAGGGCCTGCCTGATTTTGCCTGTTCCCCTTCCATTTCTGGCTTCAGCTCCTCCCGCTGTCCCTTTGCTCTCCTGCTCTAGCCACAACACTTCCCTGATGCTCTTGGAACTCACGAAGCACACATTCGTCTCGGGGCCAATGCTTTCCGCCTACAAACCTGCATGGCCAGCTCTCTCACATCTTTGAGGACTTTGTTCAAATACCACCTTCTCAGCAAGGCTTTCCCAGGATATCTGCTATGGGCTGAATGTTGTTCCCCCCAAATTCGTACGTTGAAATCTTAATCCCCACTCCCCTAGAGGGTGACCATATTTGGAGATAGGGTCTTCAAAGAGGTAATTAGTTAAAACGAAGTCCTCTGGGTAGGCCCTAATCCAATATGACTGGTGTCT